GGATATAAAATAGTACTCGGTACATTATTGTATATACAAAATAATACTGATTACTATATAAAAAGTGTTTTTAAAGATTTTTTTATTTACATATTTGCGAATATAATGAAAGGAGTAAATAATTGTAAAAAATGGTAAAAGTTTAAAAAAAAGAAATAAGGAGATAATTCTATGAAGAATAATACACTAGAGATTCAAATAAATCTTATGTGCATATATTATTATGGAAAACATTATTATTACATATGGTAATCTCGGTGCATATATTATATAATGATAATTATTTTAGGAAAAAACAATACTCCGTATATATGGAAAATACATACTATTTATAGATGGTATATTTTTATATGGACATATGATGGGGGATAACTTCATACTTGGGTGGCAATAAATATGATATCAATATAAATTTATAACGTAAATACGAGCCGTGCAACGCACGGGTGTGATACTAGTGAATCGTGGAAAGAGGGGAAGACAGATAGGAGTTGGGCAAAATCTATCTGAGATTTGTAATAATATTTTTATTTATACTTGAGCCTACCAAATCTTTCACAATCCATATGGAATAAAAATCCTTTAAAATCTATTAGTTTTTGAATACCATTAGATTTTGAAAGATTTTTCAAAATCTTAATTGAATACATCTAGATTTTAAATGATTTTTAAAAATCTCAATTGAATACCTACCAACTTTTGAAATCCAAAAAAATCCATCAAAATCAATATTGAATACACTCCCCTTAGTTTCCTCGAGCGCCCGTGGAGTCCACTCAAACTTAAATTATGACCACTAGATATATGAATGTGATTTTTTAAAAGACTTAAGGGCCTGTTCTTTAGGGCTTGAACTCTTAACTTTCAGTTCTTCTAGTTTTCTTTAATTTCTTCCAGTTCTTTCCAGTTTTTTTCAGTTTCTTCCAGTTCTTCCAGTTCCTTCCAACTATTCTCATTTGCTTCAAACTTTTTCTACTCCTCAACCAATTACTTTAAAAGCGATATATTTTAATGTGATTATATTATTATTATTATTATTATTATTATTATTACAACTGTTATATTCATAACTATAGTTTATAAATTATTTTTTTCGTCTCACTATTTTTACAATTCACTCATTATTTTTTTCTTCAACTTTTTAATATGAATAAAACAATTTTTTGTATATTAGTTTACATGATAAAACAGGAAAACATCAATATGTTAAATTATATTAAAAAAATTATGAATAAAATAATGACATTGAATGTTTTATTAATCTAACTTTATATAAGACCTCTCACCTTTCCCTTTATTACTTAAAATTTTCTCATTTTTTCTAATTTTTATAAAAAAAAATTGTAAGTCAAAATAGTTTAGAGAAAAAGACTAAAATAGGAGTAAAACATAAAAAATGTGTAAAAAGTTCTATGTATTTGTTCCAAAAATAGGACTTCAATGAAAATAGAATATCAATAATGAAAGAAAAAAAATATGTTTGATTACATTATGTGACATGTCTGATATTTAAAACAAAATCTTGTACTCCCTCCGTCCACAAATAAACTTCCCGCTGCGCGTTATGATGTTTAACTGAAGTTATTTTCAAATCATTTTATATGAAAAATGGTGTAAAATTTAAAAAACAAGAATTACATATTAAAAAATTATATCAAAAGATCTACAAAACTAGAGGTGACATGACTATTTTATTTTATCAAATGAGTGACGAAAATAAGCCAATAAAGTAAATAAAGTTTGACCTTGTGAGTAGTGACCTTGAGTAGTGAACGGGAAGTTTATTTGGTATGAGAAATTCATGTGTGGTCTTTAGATCCACTGCACATTCATTGTATGTTGCTTAATACATGAAAACTATGAAAGGTGTCAAGGAATTCATTCAACCAAAACTCAAGATTGTGATTGTGATCAAGAAATGTTTTATATATACTTTGGGCCTGTTTGGGAATAGCGTTAGAGATTAGCGTTAGCGTTTTGGATAAAATTTTAACGGTGCAGATTAATTTGAAAACGCTAACGCTAAACGCTGCCCGTAGATAGCCTTTTGAAAACGCTAACGCTAATCTCTAACGCTATTCCCAAACAGGCCCTTTAACACAACACCTTACGTGTAGCGTGATTTATTTAAGCTTTGTAGTGAAACTTTAATTTTTAACTGAATGACAGTGAGTTTTGAAATCATGACCTCTTAGTCAATAAGAGCATTTAAAATGGGGAGTAAATTTGTCCACCCCAAAATCATGCAATGTTATCGCCCTGAAAACCCGCCTCTACGTTTTTTACATTATCCTTCATTTTTAATTTAAAAGTTAATTGAATTTAATACAAATTTTTATTTTTTTAAAAAAATGAAAAAAGATTGTAACAATTAAAAATTTAAAAATAAGCTAATATAACATTAAATTATGAAATACTACATAAATAAAAGATGAATATTAACATGCTTAAAATTAAAATTAAAAAAAAATAAAAATAAAAAAAGTGCTTGCCCTATTTATCATAACGTGGATCACCACTATCATGTCGTGGTGGTACTTCAGCTCTAACTTCGACATTCTAGATGTATCCATTGCAATGAGTTTGCTGATGTTGGTGCAAGCGCAAGATTTTTATCCATTATGTCTAACACTCTGTTTTCTGATGGAGGGGCCATACTAGGAGCCGTTGTCTTAGTCTTTCCCTTCCCCTTATTTGCCGCCTTTGACCCAATCGGGCGGCTTCGGCCATTGGGTTCGCCGCCCAATCCATGGGGGAAGTCGCTCCCCGTGGCATTGAGGTCGTTAGAATCCACTCGTTGAGTGCAAACCAGTCTCGGAGAGTTTGGAACAATATCCTCTGGTCTCGACCCCAGCTCGATGCTTAATTTAGGGCTCCTTTGTAGAATTTTCCAGATTTTCCCGGAACTTGAAAACCTCTTCTCCGATTCATAATAAAGGTCCAACACTTTCGACATAATGTCTTCAAAGGAGGACCCACTGGGCCATGTCTTGAGGATGTTGGCATATAAGCCACCGAACTCTAGCTTTTCAGCAGCACACGGCTCTAGTGTTTCTGAAGCATCTCTCTGTCACGTATGGGTGTAACATTGCGCCTCTTGGCATTGTACTTCGCTGCAACACGCTTCCAGAACATTTTTTATTTCTGGTAGTTGTCGACAATGACATCCGCCGACACATCGAAGTAGTACTTTGCCAATTTTTGACTTTCTGTCAAAGTATACATCTTTGGCACGTCCGTCTTTTTGCCCTTCTCGGCCCTTTGCTAACGATGTCGCTGATGGGCTCCAACTAAAAAACGTCGTAGTCGGTCATATTAACGGCCTATAATTTGTATGGGCTATCGTTGGAGCCTGAGAAAGGGATGAACTCGTCGCCGGGTAAAGAGCCGGAGTTTTTAAATCGAATGACGACATTGAGTTCGGAATTATCAAAGTTTATGTTGTTGTGCTTAGAATTTATTTTGAATAATGAGAAAATAGAAAGAAAGTTATTAGAGTGAGGTGAGTGTGAATTGAGAGGGATCAGAGTGATGAATTGAAGTTGAAGATGTGTTGAATTTATTGATATAAAATATAAAAAAATAAAAACAAAGGAGGGGGGCGCGACCGGCGCGGCAGATCATCACAATGAACGGCCGCCGCGATTTTGCGTTGTAAACTCAGCCCGACTCCGTGCCAAAAGTGGTGCGCGCGCTGCGACATAAAACACGACTCTCCACCTGCAATGGGAGTGCGGCGCGGCGGACCTTCGTGAAGCGTGCGGTGCGACAGGATTATATCTCAAGTTTGTAATTGTAACTAAGATAACGTTTTTTATATATATACTCTAACAAAAGGACGGAACTTTTTGCAAAAAAAATTCATTTATAAGTTCATAAATAATTTAAAAAGTCTATATTTCACATATATCTTAGAAGCATAGAAGCATCAATTTTTTTCATATAGTTTTCACATATATTTTATACTCCCTATATTTCTTTTCATATTTGGTAACACCACATACCACCACATTCATGTGGGCCACGGACCAAAGAAAAATGTGAGCGAACTCCGCCAAGAAGTGCCGAAGTGTACGGAAAAAAGGAAATGAGGATAGAGCTATAAAGAAAGAAAAAAGGAGAGGAAATCTAGAAAAAAAAACAACTCTCTTGTTTTCTTATTAGCAGCGTGGACTTTCTGCGGAAAGGGGCAGCAACGTCTAGAGAGAGAAAGCAGCGCGGAGGAAGGAGACGACGGCACGGCACGGCGACGACTTCCCCTTCTAGGAACCGACGGGGAAGAATTTCTCTGTTTTGCTCCTTCCATCTTCATCTGCAAGGCGGAGTTTTCTTCGGCAGCGGGGGGGTTCAATCCGCCGGATTCAATGGATGACAAGGAAGGAGGATCCTCGAGATCGGCGGCTCCGGTGCAGCGGCCTACTATCACGCTGCCGCCGCGGAGTTCGATGGAGAGTTTTCTCACGAGCGGGTTTAGTGGGGTGAGCCCGGGGCCTATGACTCTGGTGTCGAGTTTTTTCTCGAACGGAGATTCTCAGCCCTCGTTCTCCCAGTTGCTGGCGGGTGCTATGGCGTCTCCCGTCGCTTTTGCTGGTGTCCGGCTGCAGCCTCAGCCAGTGGCGGAGAAGGTTGAGGCGGATTTGAAGGAGGAATCCGGCGGCGGGAGTGGTGGAGATGCAGATTTTAGGTTCAAGCATAATCGACCGGCGGGATTGGCAATAACTCAACCGTCAATGTTTACCATACCTCCTGGTTTGAGTCCTGCAACTCTGCTCGATTCGCCTGGATTCAGTGCTCTCTTTTCACCTGGCCAGGTATTTTGGAAGCTCTCTTTAATCTGTTTCGTGCTCGTATTGCTATCAAGTCATGTTCAAAAGCTGATTTTATTCTTCAGAAGTCAGGGTACCGTATGAATGCGTAGTCTGTGATTAGGTTCCTGGATTTGGGGAAAATTTGAATTCAGCTAACAGATGGCCAAACCAGCATTAATGGTTGGTATTACATTTATCAGGGGTAGTGCTGTGATTCATTTCATGATCTGGGCCGAAAGTGCAGTTGAATTTAATGGTTTATTACTCTGGTTTGCATTTGGAGGTTGAAATAATAAGGCAACATTTTAATGCTGTTGTTAAGAATGTTAAAAAAACTAATTTTTTACAGGATTCAAAAACTTAGATATTGTAGCCTCTTATAAAATATTTTCATAATTTTAAACGTTGGATCTAAGAAGATATTGGATTTGGTACTAAGGATTGGATGTAGTTTTCTATATGGATTATGGACGGTGGAGTTTGTTTATTCAAGGTGCATAAGCATACCCCTCTCTATATACTTTTCTGAAGATGAAGGTTTTTACTTTCTTAGAAGACTGAATCGTCATTAGGAGGCCATCACTTTTTTTTGAATAGGGAAATATGCAAGTGCTTCACTGTCATTCATGACCTGTCCTACCATCCTCAAACTCCCACTCGTGGGACTCTGGGAGGATGGGCTGGTCCTTGAACCCTTGCAGAATCTTAGAATTAAGACTTTTTTTAGTCTTGTAGGATTTAGGAATCGACTGCCATTAGGCTAATTCTTTTTTTTAACACTTCTTTTTCACACTTGTATTGTTACCCTTTGGAAGATTACTGTGGAATGTGGACTCCTAAGCATTGCATAAATGAAAATATCCAATCATTACAGTGAGAGTGGATTGCCAGATTAGAGTTCTTGTCTTCTAGAGCTATGGTTGATCACCAAATTATATCCCCACCCAAACGGGAAACTTACCCAATCAGCCTTTGACCTAACAGAAGGGGACTCAGAATTCACAAAAGATGGGTTCTCTTTGCTGAATAATATGCTCCAAGCTGAATTTAAGATTCAATTGGATATTTGGATCTGGTACAATCTGAACTTTTTTGGTATGGCTTGATTTGGATGTTTATGAACTTGTCTCATTTTCTTGTCTGAAATATAACACATCATCTAGTCTGAACTTTTCTGGTTTAGTTTGGTCCTAATTTTCTGGTCTAGTGTGGTCTGGGTTGAATCTTTCTAATTTGGTTATAAGAATTAGTATGATCAAAATAAGAATAAGTAATAAACAAAAACATTAAGGTGAAAAGAACAACACCAATGTCATTTTTAATTCCTGTGAGGCACTACTCTGTCTTCAGGGATCTTTTTGACCAATCATTTTATGTTAAAACTTCAACAAAATAACTCCCATGAAGAATTAAGTACTCTGGTCTTCAAGGAAGTCTCTTACCTTTTGAAGTTAGTTTTTTTCCCTTCCTTTTCTTCCATGCCCCAATGGAATCACTTGATATCGACCTCATTACACTTTGATATGCTTGAAAACTTTGCAGGGCTCATATGCTACAAGTACAGAGTATAAGAATTAGGGCTTGACAAAACAACCCACAACCTGTCAACCAATGCTCTTTCACATATATAACTGCATCTGCAATGACATGCCATTAGTCGAGCTGTCAGAAAGCTATTCCAATGACTTATTTTTTCTGCCTAATAATACAGGGCCCTTTCGGGATGTCCCATCAGCAAGCACTTGCTCAAGTCACTACTCAGGCTGTTCAGGCTCAAGTTCAAATGCCTATTCTACCGGACTACCCTTCTTCATCAGCTGCTCCTGCAGCACCATATTCACGGCTACAGACTACAAATCAACAGATGCCTCCTCAAGCAACTGATCATAATAATATTATGAAAGGGTCAACGGATGTTTCCCATTCTGATCAGAAAACTGAACCTGCTCCCTTTCCCGCCGACAAACCTGCTGATGATGGCTATAACTGGAGAAAATATGGGCAGAAGCATGTCAAGGGAAGTGAATTTCCTCGGAGTTACTATAAGTGTACACACCCAAAATGTCCTGTCAAAAAGAAAGTTGAGCGTTCGATTGAAGGCCAAATAACTGAAATAATATACCAGGGACAACACAACCATCCACCACCTCAAAACAGAAAGGGTGCTAAGGATCCTGGAAACACCAATGGGACCACTGCTCTTCTTTGCGGCTCTGAACCGATTTCTGAGGGTCTCACAACAAACATCAACAAGCACAAGGATCAAGAATCAAGTCAAGCTACACATGAGCACGTGTCTGTGTCTAGTGAGAGTGAAGAAGTGGGTGATGATGATGAAACGAAAACAGATAGAAGAGATGATGATGAACGTGAATTGAAGCGGAGGTAATATCTCATTTTCTAAAACCAGAACAAAAAGTGATGACAATATATTCATGTCTTCAAAGATGCTAAAATATGGATTTGTGTTCATTTCTTGTATGCAGGGCCACGGAAATGCAGGTTCTGGATCCAGCTACTGCATCCCATCGCACGATTATAGAACCCAGGATCATTGTTCAGACAACTAGTGAAGTTGACCTTTTAGATGATGGATACCGGTGGCGAAAATATGGCCAGAAAGTTGTTAAAGGCAACCCTTATCCAAGGTAAACATGCTGGTTATTTTGCATTGAATAAAATCCCGTTTGCTAAATGTTAGAATATAAAACCTTCCCTCTGGCTACAACCAGAAGCTTAAACTTTTGGTTGGGTTGGTTTCCTAACATGGTATCATGACCAAGTGGTCACGAGTTCGGAACTCATCGTCACCTAATTTTAAAAAAAATAAGTTTCACATGCAAGGCTCAAAGTGGTCACGCCTGCACGTGAAGAGGCGTATTAGAATATAAAAGCTTTCCTATGCCTACAACCAGAAGCATGAGCTTTGACATTAAGGCTTAAAATGGCGGATGTGCCTAAATCAGATGCAATTGCTCAAGTTGTGCCTGAAATGAGTTGATTGACAAAGTATGTTGTGTTATGAAAAACTATTCTTGTAAAAAAATACTACTTTTTATTGCAATACAAATATAAAAAATATGCACGAAATAAGATTAAGGGGGTGTTTCTCTGTGTTGGTGCTTATTAACCTATTGCCGATTAGCAATTTTTAACTTATAAGCTACTTATAAGTCAAATATTCTTTTGTGGAAGTAAAATGACTTAAATGATATAAAATTCATTTGTAAATATTCATAAATGGTGAGGGACAATTTTGTAAATAATTTGATCAAAACGAAGAAATGAAAAAACTTGCTTAAAAATAAGTAGCTAAGACCTACTTATTTTTCCTGACTTATACGCAACTTATAAGCACACAGAAACATGTCATCAGTTGACTTATAAGTTAAAAACTATTTATAAGCAGTTTCAACCAGCTTATAAGCACAGAGAAACACCCACTAGATAGCTAATCTTCAGTAATTAAATAAAATAAACTAGTGAGTGAGTGCTGTCAAGTGTCAACTATGGAGTAAGTTATTAGGAGTTGGGCACATCAACTAATAGAGGGTAGAGGTATACGTACATCTTGCTCTAAGAGCTAATTAGCTGTATATTTCTAAAACTTAAAAGGTGTACCCAGATTGAAGATAAACTCTGTTTATGGGACGACCTGACAAAGGGAGTAACTGATAAGGTTGGCTGATAAACCAGGGGAAAAGTGGCTATGAAATGCCCACTAAGTAGTCTTGTGTTTGTGTTCTGATCTTCTCATTCATTGAGTTTACAAGTAGTGGTCTCAATTGATGACCCCTTTTGCTTAACTTTATGGATTGATCCAAATTTATAAGATGATAAGAGACAATTCTGATCAAACTCAAACCTCATATACTTCTATGGTTCTATTAGTGATTTTTAACCCTTCACATGTTCTTAGGAGTCGCATACTTGTTTTTTTCTCTTGCAGAAGCTACTATAAATGCACAAATCCCGGGTGTAATGTGCGAAAACATGTCGAGAGGGCTGCAAATGATCCAAAAGCTGTCATTACGACATACGAGGGTAAGCATAACCATGACGTTCCGGCAGCTAGGAACAGCGGGCCCACCACAACAAACAACAATGCTGCCCTGCAATGGAGGCCACACGGCACTGTGGGCCAACAGCAGGCTTCACTCGGGACAAATTATTCTAGGAGTGAGCAGCAAGTGGCACTACTGCAATTCAAAGAAGAACAAATTACATGATCTATCTGTCGGGGCTTCGCACTGGAAGACGCTGAGAAGACAGCTGGCAGCCTACGACAGGTCACCCGTATATTTATGGCAAAGCAAATCATCTGTTTAGGAAAGGTTTCGCCCCAAAACCTTTGTGAACTCTTAGAAAGGGGTTGTTTGTATGGCTATGGTTACGGTTATTAACTTATTAAGAGTGTGTATTCTTTTCATTGTAAATGTATTTGTAATTGCAAAAAGCTTTTTTTTTTCTTTATTTTTTTAGGTGGTGGTTTGTGGTGGGGGGTGTATCGGAGGAGAAAAGATGTATTGATTGATCCATTTCAATTCAAACTGATTATGAATATACTCTGAGAAGGTTTGTACACAAACTTTTGACACTAGCGATTATAGCAAGAATTGCATTCTATACATCTTTTTGCTTCATGTTCATAGGATATACTCCTGCACAATTCTTGCTATAGCGATTATAGCAAGAATTGCATTCTATATATTTCTCTATAAAAAAATTATTAATAGTTAAAATGTTACATCGAAAATTGTAAAAAGTTAGATGGGAAGATTCAAAGGGAACAAAAGGAGTATCATGCTTATTGAGAAAAAAAACCAGTATTGGTTCTGTTGGGTATAACAAACCCCCGTTCCACACTAGTGGGGAAGAACAAAGTGGAACCAAAATAAAATGATTTAGGGGCTGTTTGTTTCAGCCTCTTAATGGTTCAGATGTCTGAATGATTCAGCACTCAGACTGTTTGTTTCAGCCTCTTAATGGTTCAGATGTTTGAATGGTTAAGAGATTTGCCTCTGAATGGTTAAGTATTATACAGAGTCTGAATGGTTAAGAGCTCTTATCTGAATTGATCAGACATTTGCCTCTGAATAGTTAAACAATATACTAGCTCTTAATGGTTCAGACCTCTTACTGGTTCAGCACTTAATGGTTCAGACCTCTTACTGGTTCAGCACTTACCCATTCAGAAGTTACCAAACAGCCCCTTAATCAGCATACCAATAGGCGACTTGTTAAGAGATGTCCAAAAATAAATTCTGAGCCTATAGTGNATGTCTGAATGATTCAGCACTCAGACTGTTTGTTTCAGCCTCTTAATGGTTCAGATGTTTGAATGGTTAAGAGATTTGCCTCTGAATGGTTAAGTATTATACAGAGTCTGAATGGTTAAGAGCTCTTATCTGAATTGATCAGACATTTGCCTCTGAATAGTTAAACAATATACTAGCTCTTAATGGTTCAGACCTCTTACTGGTTCAGCACTTAATGGTTCAGACCTCTTACTGGTTCAGCACTTACCCATTCAGAAGTTACCAAACAGCCCCTTAATCAGCATACCAATAGGCGACTTGTTAAGAGATGTCCAAAAATAAATTCTGAGCCTATAGTGCATAATATCATACTGTTACGAGATTCAGATGAGTAGATACGTGTGGTCCCGACATGTGGTATCAAAGCTCGAGTTTGGAGCGAGTAGAAGTGTTGGCCTGGATTGTGCAGAGTTCTCGAAGTAATGTTGTGCCATCATGATAGGACCGGGGGAGATCTGCCAATGGTGCCTTCTATCGTACGAAGTATCTCGATTTGCCAACACACGTAAGACTGGAAGAGTAGCCTAGCCACCCTAACAGAGTGAAATCAGGAACTATCAATTTTTCTAACGGAACGTCGCGGGCCATTGTTGTCATGGCTTTTTTTAGTCAATTTCATTTGGGTATTTTCTTCTTTTTTTTATCCTAATCGTATTATCTATCCTAGTCACTATCTCTCCCCCCTGCAAATGAACTTCTCCATCATGCCCAGAGGAGCCCAATTCATTTATCCCAACCTGAGGAGGTTGTTGAAAGGTTTTGAGCATTAAATAAAGAGCATTAAATGAGATTGGTAAATAATTAAAGGCAGAGTGGGCAAGCCTAGCTAGATTGACTGGTGTCATAGTGTGACACATGGTCTGTTTGCACATTCCAAACCTCGAAACTAACATGCTTCAAACCAGACAAACATACTTGTCTTACACCACTTGTCTACCCTTTGAAATTTAAATACTCTACCTGCATGGATAGCTTAAATGGTTCTCGTGGAGGATGTTCAACTCGATGTCTCGGGATCAAATCTTAAAATCCAAGTATTTTATTGCTCAATTCAGTTATCCCTACTCACCCTAAATTCTATCATAGATGATTAAGACTGTATTATGATTTTCCGTTATAGCTTTGTTGGGTCGGAGTGCGAGTGCAACTGGGGTGGACGTTCCACCCGGCCATCAAATTTAAATTTTTTTAATTAAAAAAATGTAAAATTGGGTTGTTGAGATTTATGCACAAAAAACTAATAATGTGAATTATTCAATGTTTTCTTTTAGGATTTTGAAAAATATATCTTAAAAAGATAATAAAAAGATAGATAAGTTTGTTTTAAGACAAAATTTTAAATACTCCACTTTGTTAGAGTGTCATCCCACATCGGAAGTTCAAGAACAAAATAATCGGTATATAAGCTCTTGAGTTGAACTAACTAATTGATTGGATTCAATCTTTTAATGTGGTTCAACCCAAGTGTCTTATTGCTCAATCCAGTTATCACTACCACATCCTAAATTCTATCATGGTGGTATCAAAGCAGGTTTTGGCCCACCTCATTTGTCAAGGTGTCCGTCTAGACGTTCATTTCTAGCCGGCCTGTTTGTCTTTAGCCCAGTTGTCCGTATGGAATATATACCCAACGGCCTGTGGCTCGTTTAACACGATTGCTCGTCTGGAAGTCCATACCCAGCGGCTCGTGGTCCTTTAGGTGTTGGTGCTCAAAAAAATTCAAGGGAACGAGAGTTTATTTGCAAGTGGTCAACCGGTTAGATTCAAAATGGTATGGTTGTCCACTTGAGGAGGAGTGTTAGAGTGTCATCCCACATCGGATGCTCAAGATCAAAATAATCGGTATATAAGCTCTTGAGTTGAACTAACTAATTGATTCGATTCAATCTTTTAATGTGATTCAACCCAAGTGTCTTATTGTTCAATCTAGTGATCACTACCACATCCTAAATTTTATCACACTTTTCAAATTTAAGTTGCACCATGACGGATATAAAACTCTTATGTCCAAAATAGAAGTAAAACATAACTCTTATATCCAAAATAGAAGTAATATTTTTTATTTTAAAAATAGAATTATTGCATTGTGATATTATATGTTGGCTAAAACAAATATGAGTAAAATAAAGTGTTTTTTGATCAATGTTATATATATTAGCATTATAAGTCATATTTAAGAATAAAAACATGAATACCCCACTTGATTTTTTGGCTCTATGTTTTGCTCATATTTGTCTTTCGCCTTACTCATATGGGGACGTAGTCGAAAGCATGAAAACGCCAACTTTTTGTAAATTCATAAAGGGTCCGTTTGGTATACGGAATTGATGGAATTAGAAATGAATTGGAATTGAAATTCCATGGGATTCAATTCCATAGAATTGAATTCAACCAATTCTAATTCATTTTTTGCACAATCAATTCCAAATCCAAATAATTTTTGTGCTACCAAACACCAGAATTGGAATCGAAGTCCTCAATTCCAATTCCATAGTTTGAATTTCGTGTACCAAACGGGGCCTAAGAGTTTGGGTATCGAGCCGTCCTCAAATTTTTAGTTGGGGACGTTTTGGAGAAAACTTGCGACACTTATTTGAGGAATTCTGTGCAATATAGTTTACCATTTTTATCAACAAACTTGATGCATTAATAGTAACAACCACATTTAAACTCTAATTTGGTTAAGTTTAAATCCTTTCCAAACCATAAACTCATTTTTTTTAAAATTTTTTTCTGGGTAACACTGTATATATATCCATGCACGCTACATATAAATCTTCGACTGTTTTCCATTTTATGTCTCTTCTTTACCAATAGAATATGCTTCATGGGTTAACCTCATTTGCTTCTGTGTTTGTAAAAGTATTGATGTCAAAAATGGAGTCAAACTTGGAATACCCTAGATTATTCATTTTTTTACAACATGAAATAACAAAAGAAATATTCATCTCAAACAAACATTCAAATACTTCCTCCATCCAAAAAATATATTTTCGTTACACGTTATGACGTAGCACGTAGAATTCAAAAATAAAGATTACATATTTAAAAAACTACATCAAAATATCTACACAACTATTCGTGACATAATTATATTATTTTATTATATGAAAAATGAAAATAAGCCAATAGAATAAATAAAATTTAATTCTTCAAATAGTAAACATAAAGATAATTGTTAGACATATGGATTAATTAAAATAGAAAAGACTCCAAAAAATTCACTTTCACACTTTATTTTTAGAGTTTTTAAATGTTTTATAATATAATTTGATAATAATTGATCTTATTGAATAATAAGAATCATATATATATATATATATATATATATATATATATATATATATATATGAAATATAAGAGGAATCCTAATCATAATAGAATAAATATTTATGATAATAGTAGAATAAAGAGAGTAAATAATAATACTCTCTCCGTTCTCAAAAAGAGTTCCTAGTTTGACAAAGTGTTAAAATAAGAAAGTGTTAAATTGTACTTCCTCCGTCCCAAATTATTTGTCACATTTGCTTTTTCAACAGTCGCGGGAATTTTTGTTTGTTTTTATTTTTCATTGCTTATTTGATAAAATAAAATATTCTTGACACCTTTATTTCGAAGAACTTTTCATGTAGTTTTTTGATATGTAATTTTTATTTTTTATTTCTTTACCAATATGTAAATAAAATGAATTGAAAAAACTTGATATTTTGCCTCGGTAATAGAAATGTGACAAATAATTTGGGACGGAGGAAGTAGTTGGTTTCCAATTTTGCCCTTGATGTGATGGATAAAAGTAAGATGTGATGGATAGATTATTATAGAAAAAGTATGATTTTGATAGGCAGGGCATAAAAAAGTAAGGATACAAATGATTTTTTAATAGAAAGTGAAAGTATTTTGTTGGAAATAGAAAAAATAAAAAAGAAAGTGTTTTTTGAGACATTTTTTCACTTTTGGATATGAAATAACGATTTTTTTCATAACTAGAAGGGTATTGCGCATTCGGAGAATGTTTGGTAGCTACCTAATTAAACTCAATTAGATCCCAAGAAAAAGTAGCTCGATAATAGTTAACTATGGAAGAATGTAAATTAGGACTTTAGAGTTTATATAATTGATAATTTGTCCATGGAAGAATGTTAATTTAATTGATAATTTGTCCATGGAAGAATGTAAATTAGGACTTTGGAGTTTATATCAATCTTTTTTTGATGAGTCAAATTCATAGAGTTTGATGACATTGACCAAAATTATGTCAACTTTTATTTTGTATAGTTTATGTTGCAATTTTTTAAATTAAATATATGAATTTAGTTTTCACATTAATTTCTTAAAAAATTTAAATTGAAAATAAATTTATTCGATCAACATAAATCAAATTGTGCAAATATTACCGCTAACTTTATTCTTTTTTAGGGCGAAACTGCGAAAGTGAAACCTCTAGTATATGCAAAGGATGAGCTCCATCCCTGAGACCCTTTCAAACTCGGTCAGATGATTGAGGTAAATTAAACCTTAATATACTAGGTTAGTAGTCGTGGAACCTGCACGGTACACACAAGAAATGGTGAGATGTCGGGGGACGTTACACAGTTGGTAATGTAAGATCCGAGTTTGATTTTTGATAACTGCGCTAAGAGGTACCTATGGTAAACATATGCCCTCTATATGTAACATCACTCTTTCCCACCAATCAACCATCAAAATTTAATTTATCTCCAGTGATCATTCGATCTGATATGAAGAAACCATCATGACGAGGCTCATCCTCCTTAAAATAAATGGTGATATGGGGAAGTTGAAACTTGAAGGTCCAAACCATTGCATCGAGTGGGTTGGGGTGGGATGGGGGTGGGGGG